ATAGAAATTGATAGAAATTAAATATGAATCTGGATTATCATAAATGTAGGATCACCTTAAGTGTGCATTATTAAGCAGTTCATTGGTAGTAGAATCTTACAATTATAGTCTTTTGCTTAAAATTTACATTGCTTTACAGTACAATTAGTCTTTCTCATTTTGAGAAAAGTTTATCCATAATGTCTGATCATATATTTTTCTTTTTCTTTTTTTTGACTTCCATCCCATACTTTTTAGACCTCCTGCCCTCCTCATCCACAAAATGAAAACAAGGAAAAATAAATTAGTCTCTGTTTCTTGTAGGTGTTGGTGGTGGCACTAGTGGTAGTGGACATGACTTTAGTTATCACAGAGTTGCTCTTCGACCTGGAAATGCAAGGTGCACCCTCCCCCATCCCGTTTGTGATGCACACGCTCTCCATAAGCCTGCTTGCACTCTTCCTCGTTGAAATTGGCTTGAAGATTTATGCTTACCGCTTTGACTTCTTCACGCGGAAAGTAAGTCTTTTGCTTTGGCTTCTACGTTTTTTTATCATTATTATTATTTTCTTTTTTATTTAGTTCAATAGTGATTTGTTTATAAATTGATCTGATTTTTAAAAGTTTATTTATGCACATTTTTGGACTCACATCATGTAGTTAGTGTATTTATCAGTTGTGCTTATTTCATATGTTCTTGTTTTTTGCTTTTTTATTATTAATGCATTTATTTAGAGGCTTAATGATTCATATTATGTGTATAGTGTGTTCACATTATATATAACTTCTCTCTCTCTCTCCTCTCTCTCTCTCTCTCTCTCCTCTCTCTCTCTCTCTCTCTTCTCTCTCTCTCTCTCTCTCTCTCTCTCTCTCTCTCTCTCTCTCTCTCTCTCTCCACTCTCACTCTCACTCTCTCTCACTCTCTCTCCTCTCTCTCTCTCTCTCTCTCTCTCTCTCCTCTCTCCTCTCTCTCTCTCTCCCTCTCGCTCCCTCCTCCCTCCCCCCTCCCTCCTCCCTCTCCTCTCCCTCACTCCACACCTTCCTCCTCCTCCACCCCTTCCTTCCTCCTCACCCCCTCCTCCCTCCCTCCACCCTTCCTCCCTTCCTCCACCCTCCTCCCTTCCTCCCTTCCTCCCTTCCTCCACCCCCTTCCCTCCTCCATCCCTTCCCTCCCTCCACCCCTTCCTCCCTCCCCCACCCCTTCCTCACCCCTTCCTCCTCCCTCCACCCCTTCTCCCTCCCTCCACCCCTCCTCCTCCCCACCCCTTCCTCCCTCCTCCACCCTTCCTCCCTCCCTCCACCCCTTCCTCCACCCCTTCCTCCCTTCCCTCCACCCCTTCCTCCCTCCCTCCACCCCTTCCTCCCTTCCCTCCACCCTTCCTCCTCCCCACCCTTCCTCCCCTTTCCTCCCTCCCTCCTCCCTTCCTCCTTCCCTCTTCCTCCTCCCACCCCCCTTCCTCACCCCTTCCTCCCTCCTCCACCCCTTCCTCCTCCCTCCACCCCTTCCTCCCTCCCTCCACCTTCCTCCCTTCCTCCACCCTTCCTCCTCTCCCTCCTCACCCTTCCTCCCTCCTCCACCCTTCCTCCCTCCCCTCCCTTCCTCCTCCCTCCACCCCTTCCTCCCTCCTCACCCCTTCTCCCTCCCTCTCCCTTCTCCTCCCTCCACCCTTCCTCCCTCCTCCACCTCCTCCTCCTCCACCCCTTCCTCCCTCCTTCCTTCCTTCTCCACCCTTCCTCCCTCCCTCCACCCCTCCTCCCTCCTCCTTCCTCCCTCCACCCTTCCTCCCTCCCTCCACCCCTTCCTCCCCCTTCCACCCTTCCTCTTCCTCCACCCCTTCTCCCTCCCTCCTTCCTCCCTCCTCCCCTTCCTCCTCTCCACCCTTCCTCCTCCTCCTTCCTCCCTCCTCCACCCTTCCTCCTTCCTTCCCCCCTTCCTCCCTCCCTCCACCCCTTCCTCCCCCCCTCCACCCTTCTCCCTTCCTCCTCCACCCCTTCCTCCCTTCCTCCACCCCTTCCTCCCTTCTCCTCCACCCCTTCCTCCCTTCCTCCACCCCTTCCTCCTCTCCCTCCCACCCCTTCCTCCCTTTCCTCCACCCTCCTCCTCCCTCACCCTTCTCCTCCTCCACCCTTCCTCTCCTCCACCCTTCCACCCTCCACCCCTTCCTCCTCTCTCCACCCTTCCTCCCTCCCTCCACCCTTCCTCCCTTCTCCACCCCTTCCTCCTCCTCCACCCCTTCCTCCCTCCTCCACCCTTCCCTCCCCCCTCCACCCCTTCCTCCCTCCTCTCCACCCCTTCCTCCCTCTCCACCCCTTCTCCCTCCCTCCACCCCCTCCCTCCCTTCCCCTCCTCCCCTTCTTCCTCCCTCCACCCTCCTCCCTCCCTCACCCCTTCTCTTCCCCCCTTTCTCCCACCCTCTCTCCCACCCTCCCTTTCTCCCTCTGTCCCTCACTCCTTCTTCTCCCCTTCAATCCCTTCCTCCTCTCTCCACCCTTCCTCCCTCCTCCCCTTCCTCCCTCCCTCCACCCATTTCTCTTCCCCCCCTCTCTCCCACCTCTCTCCTCCCTCTCTCTGCCAGTCCCTCCTCCCTCTTCTACTTTTTTACTCAGTGTTCTGGGTCCTTCATCCTCAAGTGAAATCAGGTGCTAGCATTTTTTTTGATTTTTTCAGTTTGACAGATACATCATTTTAGACACATACAATAAGAATATGGCATGTATATATTTATCACCATTTGAATATAGATGTGTATATATAAATATGTGCACAAACTCACTCACTCACACACTCACTCACATATATATATTTGTGTATATATATTTTTATGGGTAATATATCTATAATGTATAATGTGTGTTTATATATATATATATATATATATATATATATATTATATATATATATATATATATATATATATATATATATATTATATATATATATATATATATATTATATATATATATATATATATATATATATATATATATATATATGTATATGTATATATTATATATATATATATATATATATATATATATATATATATATATATATATATATATATATATGTATATATAATTATATATATTATATATATTTATGTATATATATATATATATATATATATATATATATATATATATATATATATATATATATATATATATATATATATATATATATATATTATATTATATTATTATATATATATATATATATATATATATATATATATATATATATATATATATATATATAATATATATATACATATATATGTATATATGTATATATGTATATATATATATATATATATATAATATAATAGATATATATAATATATAGATAGATTATATATATATATATATATTAATAATGATATATATATATATATATATATATATATATATATATATATATATATATATATATATATATATATGTATTATATATATGTATATATATATATATATATATATAATATATATATATATATATATATATATATATATATATATATATATATATATATATAATATATATATATGTATGTATATGTGTATACATACATACATGCATGTGTGTATGCATGATCAAATACATACATACATACACACAAACACACATACATACATATATACATATTTTTATGCATGCATAAATGCATACTTACACAAATAGGCATAATATATATATATATATATATATATATATATATATATATATATATATATATATATATATATATATATATATATATATATATATATACATACATACATACATAGATACAAATGTTTACATACATGCAAACATATAATCCACATGCATTACTTAATCACTTATCATTATTGTAATCCATTTCATATTGATTGCCTCTGCACTTTTTATATCTTGTTTTCTTATATATTTTGTAGTGGCAACTTTACAGCCTATTTGTTTTATTCACCTTTAACAGATGCATTGATAATGTTTGCTGTATTGATTGAGAAAATAACCTCATGTACACTGCCTGTATGTCATATACTTACACTCTGATATATATACACAGATATTGATATTGTGTATTCTGATAATGTTCTTGTATTGTTTCAAACAGAATGGAAATGAATAGGTAAGTAACTTTTCAAATGCTATGCTATTATGAGTACTATAGTGCAGTTGATTATGTTTTTTTTTCTTTCTTTCTATTCGTATACTTGACTTTTAGAAGGCTAAAGTTTGTGGTGATGATTTGCTCGTCCATTTTCAGTAGTTTTTGTTAAAAGTCAAAAGTAGGTTTAATTTTTTCACTTATTTTTTTGTAGAGGGCCTGGTGTATGCTCATTGAAGTATGGGTCAACATTTTTGTGTTTAAAACAACTTTTTTCCAGTTAGAATTACACACATTACACACAGTATTCTCCTATTTAAAGGTACATTGGATGAAGTCTTTTTAAAACAAAAATTTCTAATGATTGTATTCTTTTTGTAGCAAAAAAAAAAAAAAAAAAGGATTGAACTACAACCAGCTGCATTAAAAAAAGCTGTTGGTAACTGTCTTCCAATATTGCAGGGTGACATATTCGATGCCATTGTTGTCATTGTTGCCATCTGCCTTGATGCAGTATACCTCCACTCGCACGATGCCCACTCTGGGTTAGGCCTCATCATTGTGTTGAGACTATGGAGGGTTGTGCCCATACAAAAAGGTAAGATCTAGGTTTTGAGTATTGAACTTCCCCAAAGTGTCTAAACAAAAATTACATTCAGTTTTGGAAAATTTTCAGTCATTTAAAGAAATAATTTTTCTCCCGATTTTTCATGAAAATTGCATTCTTTGATTTAAATTCAAATCCTTAGAAGCTATCATTGTGCAAGTTAAGTAGTAGAAAGGAAAAAAAGGAATGTACTGTATTTTAAAGTAGTAATTTGTAATAATTTTTATTACATTGTCAGTAGTTCTGGAAAATCCTATACTTCCTTGTGCATCTTTTTCACTCTTAGTATTTAACATAAGTAAAATATTTAACAATGCTGTTAAACGTTGCTTACAGCCATGGTGGTTCAGGTCCGAAAAGTGGGAGAAAAGAAACTGTTGCATGAACAACAAAATCGGTACCTGGCTGAACAAGAGGCTGAGAGATATCGCACATACAGTTATTCGCAAGACATGTACATCAAAGCACTGGAGGAATTGTTGAGAAGAAATGGGATTTCATATCAGGAGGAGTGCAAGAATTTGCCGGATATTAACAGGTATTGTAGTGATTATAGTCGTAATGAGTTATGTCATACTCATATATGTAGATGCATAGATATGCTATAATTTACTTCCCTGGTCTCTAAAAAGATATATTATTGTGATTATCAGTTCATGTAATGAGTTTGTTATATTTGTTTATTTTATATTTATTTTACAGAATCAGTGTGGTTGCAGAGGTAAATACAAAAGAGTGAAAAACTACCATGACGGGGGAAAATATGGTATGTAGAAAACTTATGGATTCGAGGCTCAACGTAAATGAATTGGTTTCAGGGATAAGGCATTTCACATGTTCATTTGATTTTTGTAGCTGCATTTATCATTTGAAGAAACATTGATTTATGAATATTTAAAAACATAATTAAGCGTGTAATGACAGCATTTATACAGGTATTAATATTTGTTTGTTATCTCTAATGATATGTCTTTATCAGTGCTAAGAGTTATAAAGGAAATTTTTTTATATGACCAGTTGTAATTGTGATCTCAAACATGGTACTGAATTTGTCAAAGACTAGAATCAGTCTTTAATAAGATATATTTAATAGCATGAATTTTCTTAAAAACTTTTTTTTTTTTTTTTTTTTTTTTGCGAGACATATCTAATATGTTTTCACATTTCATTTTCATAATGTTTGCTGATGGTAACAGCAACTAAATGCTTTTATCCTGAAGCTGGTGAGGTCATCTTTTATGAGGCTAAAATTGAAAAAGACAATCTATGTAAGAAGTAGCACCATATCAAATATCTACTTTCTTTAAGATCCAGAAATGAACATGACATTTAAAGGGCAATGTCATGTTACAAATTAGTATAAAAAAGTTTGTTTGTTTATAAAGATAGTTGGTACATGTACTACCTCAAAGAGGGTTTCAATCACTTTAATTTGATGGCATTTAAAAAAAGCCATTTCTTCTTGGCTTTTGTTATAGTTTCCCTTGATATGAATGAACATAGATAAAGGTATAGATAAGAATGGGTAACTTTTCAGAGTGCGAGAGATATATTTGACATACTTCAATTTAATCATCATCAGAAATACATTTATTAATGATAGGGTTTCAAATCTATCTTATCCTTTTTACTACCATCTTATAATGCTGTATGACCACTGACACTTGATGCAATTTTTTTTTTTTTTTTGATACTTAACTCATTTATACCCCTTTTGCCAGAGTACTTTACTATAGAGCTATAAGACCTTTGATGTCATGCAGATTTATTTGTTGTAACCATTAATTATCAGATACATCTTTTTCACTGTGAAGATACTGATTTTTAATCTTGTTTTTCTACATTTGCCACAGTGAACACCATTCAGGAACTAATGTTATTATCAGAGTATTTGATTTCCTGATAAATTTTATATTACAGAACCAGTGCCATTAAACCAGTTGTTGATCACTATGAGTGAGAATTTGCATCTTCAAAATACTGTGCTTGAAGGAAATATATTCCATAATGTTTATGCTTTGAACAGTAATGCCTCAGCAGAAGCATTAGTTATTATAAATGATATTCATTTAAAGCAAAAATCTTTAAGCCTTGGCAGGATTCCAAATCAGGATTCTTGGGGGCACACACACATTTGCACTTACATATGTACATGTATACTTATGCAATACATACACTTGCTTGTAAACATGTATTTTTATATACAGAAATACATGAACATGTAAACATAAACAGATATATACATAGGCATACATAGTAGAGTTGGTCCTAATATGTGAGATTGTGTTGGGTATATTCTTTTTTGGTAAAGACTTCATGAGAACACAGCGATTGGTTCCGAACCCGTGACTCAGTTCCCTGTTGTAACCCCAATAAGTTAGCATAATTTCACACAGTCAGTCATGTTGCAAATTCAGACGTTAATCGTAGGAAAATTAGTGAGACACTATTTGAAACAGCCCTGACATACATTAACCCAATGTAGATGGGAAAATGTGTTCACTATAGTGTTGTTTTGTGAAATGTCTTTGTGCATAGATGTCTCTATAAGTGTTTAGCCACTAAGGAGTTGATTAGTAGACCTCTTAACCTCACCCAATTACACCTTTCCAAGACATTTTACTGATGCTATCAATATTAGTGCTGTTGTTAATATTATTATTATTATTATTGTTGTTAAAATTATTAACTTTATGATATAATTGTTATTATGTTGATATTACTAGCAGGAACATAAAACAAAATATTTTAAAAATCAAGGAAAAGGGTAAACAGGTGAGTTAAGTAGTACTAATAATTGGCTCATTGGTTGCTAAGTACTTGTGGAGGCATCTGTGTGTAAAGACAATTAGTAAGTTAAACTCACAATAGCCATTAGGTAAATAAGGATTTAATATGGAGGAGGGTTAAAGGGAAAAGGATTGTAATCAGTCAGTAAGTATGATAGTGGTATTGCAGTATTTTATTTACTATTATTTAGACAGGATAGTAGCAGCATCATGAGCTGTGCATTAATTAGTTACCAGGTGTGTATTCTCTGAATTTCCAGTTAACTGTTACCAACCCTGGAGTATTCTCACCATGTAAAGATTGAATTAGGAATTTCTTTTATGGCTTATCGCATTAGACAAATCTTCACAACAAAGTAACGTTAGGATCAGCTCTACTGTATCATAAATGATAGTCAGGTAACAAAATAGTAAAGAAAAAAAAAAAAAAAAAAAAAAAAAAGAGGTAGACTAACAAGACAGTCTTTATTGTAGCGATATATCAAAAGGTACATATTGGGTTGACCACTAAGGTGTCAGTGCTGCTATATAAGCAGCGAATTAACATTTCTATTTCAAAAGTTATTTTGTTTCTTTCATTTATTTTTTGTTTTTGTTTTCCAAGCCAATATTTGATGTTTCAAAATTTCATATGGTTTTAGACCAGTATAACTGTATAATTTTCTTGTGTGTGTGGCAACTTGGTACTTTGTTTTTTATGTGGAAAAAAGACTTTTTGCATTTCTTGCCAAGAAAGATAGTCAGCCTCTAAACTTAACAAAATGTAAATTATAAGTTCGAAAAATACTCCTCTTGGTTAAGGTAAGAATCCTATCTGAAACATCTCAGCACCACTGGCAATACACGTCCAAGATCCAAGATAAGGACCTAGAAATATTAACTTTAAGGCCTTCTGTGTATTTAAAGAAAACAATAGATATAACAGAAATCAGAGACACAAGGCACATGTGCTGCAGTGCTCTCTTATCACTGCCAAGTCACCCTGCAAACTTGAAACATGAATAGAAAATTCAGTGCTTTCAAGTTTAGTTGCCATTTAGCTTTTTTAGGGGGGAGCATCTTGAATGGCTTCCACACTGGATGATAATGACTTTTATTCTTTCTTGTAATAGATTTCTTTCCCTTCATTTCTCTATCATAAAAATCACTTCCTCCAGCTTTATCCTTCTATTATTACCCATCTTTTTGTCTCTTCTTTCCAAACTGTAGATGTCTGTCACAATTGTGAGATGAGCTACTTTACATTCATCATTATAACTTTGTGTTTATGGATTTTCTCTTTAAATTAGTATGGTACAATGTAGACACTGCAAGAATAATACTTTTTAATTCTTTGAAGCAAAGAGACAGACAGATAGACAGAGACAGAAAGAGAAAGTGGTAGAGTGTTATGAGAGAAGTTGCTGGCAGAATAATAACATGCTTGGTTAGCACACACAGTAAGAGAATTCCAGAAGAGGTCACAGATAAACAACAGAAACCGCAATTCATAATTGCAAGGGATTAGTAGCCAGACAAGTCTTCCGAGTTCACAGGAAGGGGTGGGAGAGTAAACAGGAGATAGTGCAGCACCAGTCATGACCAATTAGCGTCAATGGCAGAATGAATGCTTACAAAGCTTGGTACAGTGAAGTTTACATATTATCAACAAATGCTTAATTAAAATATGATTGCAGTGAATGTTGATTTACTCTGCAGTTAATACAGTAAGTACCAAGAAAAAGGCCTTTATGCCTATTACTATTTAGTCACTGACTAGATAATAATTACATTAACTAATAATTAATGGCTGTTACAGAGACAGACTTGCATTCACAGAGACATATAGACAGAGAGTGAGAGAGGAATTGATAAATTGGTAGATAAAGAGATAGACCTGTTTAGAAAGACATAGATGCCATGACAAGAGAATTTTATATACTGTATAGAGTAATGTAATATTGCATTATCATGATCATGTGGACATGTATTGCCATTGGAACTTTGATACCAAACAAATATTTCACTTGGTGTTATTCATTCTGACAAAGTAAATGAAAAAGGAAGGTGTGTTAAATATCATGAAGATTTAAAGCCAGGACAGGATGGAAAAGTATTTTTTAAGTAACAGTCCAGATTTTCTGAAAATTGTGTACAAAGTTTTCCCACAATAACTGCACAAATTTGCAGACCCCAGAGTTCAAACATTTAAGCAATACTTGCTATATTCAGCTAATATATTTAAGACTAAGCATATGCACTAAATATATATATATATATATATATATATATATATATATATATATATATATATATATATATATATATATATATATATATATATATATATATATATATATATATATATATATATATATATATATATATATATATATATATATATACATATATATGTATATATATGTATATATACATAGGTCATATATATACATATACAGCAGATATATACATAGAAGGTTTATATGTGCTTGAGTACCTCACAGTATATGTTTCTTAACCTGTTGCAGCCTAAACCATTTTGATGCCCAAAGTACAGGCTTGTGATGCTAGAGTTGCCATTTATTATATGCCGTCTTAATTTGGTGATGTCAGACCTTGTTTGCTGTGTATTCTTCTCCCTGTTGGGTATGTATTACAAATGTATGGTAACGAGTATTTTTTGCCAAATTTGAAGCAATTACCCTTTTGAAGATTTACAGCATAATGCATCTAGGTTTGGGCCAAAAGATGAACAAGTTAAGGTAGTATATGTGAAGTATATGTATCATATAATGTTAACAACATATGTAAACATTATAAGTACATGTACATACTGAAATGAGTCTCCGGTTCTTAGTTTTTCTCCATAACAGTAGATTAATAGTTCTTTAAGTGATATATATGGATGTATGGATATTTTTGATAATGCTTGTATATAGCAGAATACCATGTAACCAGATGCTGTAGCAGGATAATTTTGACTCAGAAATTTTAGTGCTTTAAAAAGAATATGTTGGCCCTGCTAACAAATGTATATATTGATAGTCAACCATTTTGAGTTTATTGAAATAATCACTTCAGCTTTACACAGGTTTTACCTCAAAATTGGGTTAGATTAACTCATCATTTTTATTTTGTTGTTGTTGCTTAACAATACCTCTTATTTGGGTGCTTTCTAATTGATTTCTTGCCTTTGAGGACTTACTCAGTTATTCAGTACAGAACACACAGTATGTCATTCACAGGCTGAATTTCACAGCATATGAATGCACCAATGTTCATTTGGGCAAAGAGGAATTCACAAAGATAGACTAACAGTGAATGGGATAATTACAAATCATATTCATTTCTTCAAAAATTCCAGCTGTTTATGAGAAAAGCGTCACAAATATAATTCATAAACTCTTGAATTTTTGAGTCTTGTATAATTACTGGCATTTGATATCACATAAGATTATTAGTAAAATTTATTTGTAGTTCCGAGTCTTGAGCTGTTTATATTAGTCTCTTTTAACCATGTCGCACAAAATATAAGTAGTTGATATAAGTAGTTGATATATAATATTTTTGTATTAGTGTGTAGACCTTTTGATGTTTGTTTGTTCCTTGAATGAGATTAGGAGAATTAGTGCTAAATAAGGTGTAAACAGAACAACAAAGGGAAGAACAGAAGCACAAATTTATTCCTGCTCTTTCCTTTATTTTTCTTTTTTGTTTGTTTTGTTTATGTCTGCAGTATGATATTTGCCATATAGCTTTTAAGATGTTTGTTTCTTCATCATCTGTGTATGTGAATGAAGACAAACAAGAATGTATTTGTTTCCAGTTTGCTGTGCACAGGTTTCATGAAACAAGGTGAAAATTAGTAAAATGTAAAGGCATTTTGATTTGGTGCTGTTGATATTTATGGAGGGTATAAAATGGGTTAATGCATTTTTTTTTCTTTTTAATAAGTGTGAATTCTATCATTATTGCCTTTTTTCATGATATTTATTTTATTTTTTTTACTTTTAGGAGTTGACATGCATTTAAACCATTTCATTGTCAAAATACTGACATGTAGACATTTTGTTGTAGACCTTATGTCTCAAGAATTATATGTTTTGCTGCAGTTGACTATTTGTGAACATAACAAAGGTTGTATTACTCAAAGATTTTGCATTTATTATTGTGGCATTCCCTGCTGAAGTATAGTAAGTGGGGTTGATTTCAAGATGTTCAGGCTGAGGCAGGTTTTCAGGCTTTAATTCAAAGAGGTAGAGGCATTTAGGTGGATCTTTTTTTATACAGATGCCCAGAAAAAGTGGCAGAGATAACAGGATCACCAGATTCAGAGGGTTTCATTTTCAGAAACTGAGGCAACTTTCTGGACTTAGATGTAAAGAGGGAGGGACATTAAGATGGATATCTGGCATACAAATACCTCATAAAAATGCCAGAAATAACATCATCACTAGATTACAGGCGATAGCGAGATGGGTCCTAAGAGGGATGGAAAACTAATCAGTTTACATTCCATCTCCCACCAGTATTTTCAGTTTCCACCTGTTTTTTTCCATCTTCTTTGACTTCTCCTTCTTCTTATTTTTCTCCTTCTTCTGCTTCATATTCTCATTTTTATTATTGTTATTATTATTATTATTGTTATTATTGTTGTTATTTAGTAATCTCATTTTGTTTCCTTGCCCAGCTTCCTCTGTGGGTTAGCCAAAATTTTCATGGTGTTGACAATAATCTTCCAAATCCAATTGTTGTTTCCTTGTTTTCTTTGTTTCCACATCACTTACCTCACAACCCCTTGGGTTATGATTAGCGAGAAATGTAAACAGCAAGTGCCCGACATCAAGTGCTGATTTCTCCCTTTTCCCTTGCTTTTTCTTGCCGTACTTCATCAGGGAGTGCCACAAATATCTATCGTGTTCTCCAATGGCAGCCAACTAATACAGCTGAAATGCGTTTTGTTCTAGTATTTTACTCTTTCCTTTCCATGAAATAAAGTATGAAAAGGTACACTCTATGGTCATGTTGTGCCATTTAAGGAATATTGTGAAGTGGCAAATAATCACAAGCTTGCGTGTTGTTTATTTGCACTTGTAAGGTCATAGAGGCAGCTGAAAAATATAGGAACAGAGTGATTCAATACTTATAGAATATTAATTTGTTTTGTTCTACAGTTAATGAACAAGCTTTATGAAGTAGATGAATAGTAACAAAAAAGATATGGAAAATCTGTTATGAAATTCCACAAAAAGTCAGGCAAGAATAATACTACTTCTTGTCAATGAATATTTTTAAATTGCTTAGCATGAGGTTCACATTTTCCTAACTAGTGTTGTGAAGTAGAAGGAGAAATGATGTGCCTGTATTCCATTCTTCTCCTTTTTGCTTTTAAATTCCACAAAGTAAAAGTTCCACGTCTTCTGAATCTGTGCTTGGTTGGACAAGCGTGTCTAAAATACAATATGTGCCATAATTTCATAATTTACTATTTTGTTACTCAGATTTGTAAGGTATAGTACATTATATGATTAAAGTGAATGAACAGAACCAAGCTTGGTCTGCTTCAGGTAATATGAGGTAGACATATATATCATGATCTAAAACTTAAATATCAAAATATGTGTAAATAACAGAGCATTTTTAAATCGAACTATAAGGCACAGCAGACTGAACAGGAACAAAACACACGTGGAACAATAGGGATCAGTTTGTTTCAGTTCATGCTTTTATGTAAGCTCTGTAGCATTTTATAAGAAAAAAGTGGTATTTTAACAAATATGAAAGAATGGATTATGTACAATCATCTGAAACAAAAATACCTCTTTGTGTATCACATATTCTCGTTTTTTTGTACCTGCAGTGTTTTATCATACTAAACGTTAGGGGCATTTTATTACCTAAGGATGTATATAATATTGATGAGCTTTTGTGAAACATAAATGGTATTTGATTGATACACTTATTGTGCATTTCAGGTTTCCTTGGTATGTATTTTTGTTAAGGAAACAATTTTTGCCATTGTTGAGATTACTCCGAAAGAAACAGAACAAAACCTGTAATTTTTGTTTTAAAATACATAGCTAGAAGTACTGTTATTATACTAATGTTGTTTGATGATTTGCATGTTGACATTTGATGTTTTTCGTTTCTCTGTTTAAGTAATGAAGATTACCTTTGGGAAATACAGTTGAGTGACATTTGAATGGAATATTTTTGTTGAAAAATATTGATAGGGGAAAGGATGGAATAGATGCCTTATTATAATTTTCTTTCTTCCTTTTTATAAATTAAATTGCGTGACATGTAAATTAAATATTTTTCTTACAAAAAGGATCACATGTGAATGTATGATATATTAGCTACTTGACCTTTTTTTTTTCTTTCTCTTTTAAGGTTCATTTTAAAAGATTTATCATACTAACTCATTGCCTCTCTTATTCCATGGACGCTGCCAGATCACCTGACTAGGGTTCAGGAATTAAAATATGCCAAATGTTGTGATTGTTACAGATATTTCATACTGCTAACGGAAGTGTTTTGCAGTTTCTGCTGTGTCGCCTGGAATATTTGAGTATCGTTACCACATAATGTGAGGGTTCAGAGTGTCTTCTTTTGTGTTTTATTGTATTGTAAATGTAGAAACTCAGATTCATGTTTACAAAGGAGAAGCTTGAATTTATTTGTATACAAATGCATTAAAAAAGTTAAGTCAAAGTATAAGATGTGTGGAAGTGTTTGTTTATTATTACTTGACTTTAAACTAACATACAAGTTATAATTATATGCCTCATCTATAATACTCTTTATATATCAAAGTTGATATATAAATGTCTTTTGTGCCAATGTGTTTTGTGCTAGATGCATCAATACAATGTAGGATGTTTATCCTTGATAAAAATGTTGACTTCAATTACTGGTAAGTGTTATGTTGTGATGTTTAATTTTAATAAAATCTAATTCATGTTGAATGTTTCCTTATCCTTTGGTTCATAGATTTTCTCTTTCTCTCTCTCTCTCGCCCTTTTTCTTTGCCTTCTCCCCTCTCTCTCCTCATTAGTGTAATATCCTGCCTCTGCACTAACGTACCTTCTATGAAATTTCTCCAACAAATTTCAAAGAAGCAACAGTTTAAGGTGGGAGTTCAAAGTCACAGGCTAAAGAGTTCAAATCTTACTGATAATAATGATGATAATAATTACAATTATTAATATTTTGAGCATTATTATTATCATTATCATTATTAGGCATCATCTGCATAAATTATTTTAGTTCTTACTTTCATGTAAGATCTACAATTTTTCTGGAAGTTTTATGTTCAATTTAGTGTAAAAAAGGGTCAGTAAAGGAAATAGAAATATGCATAAATATATTCAACAGACATTATTATTCTTGATATTAAAACATAAAACAAATTCATTGAAACAATGTTTTTAATGATCCCTGACAGATTTAAAATTATTATCCAACATATATTTAACATATATATAGAGATTTCATTTAAAACAACACAAAGACAGAAGCTTTTCATCATACTTTCACTGATAAGTTTCATACATATGAAGCTTCACAACAAAGTATTTTTAAGCTTTCTAAATAAATGAATGCTTTCCCAATCAGTAAATAAGAAGTTAATTTACTGATTCAACAAATCATTAACTATAATGAATACCATTCAGAGCCTGAACAAATCCTAAAGGAAAACGGCATAAACATCCTCTTTGTGTTTTCAAGTCTGTCTTCACTTTATCCTGGAATGATTGAGTCCTTAAACCTCCATGTCGTAAGCTGGAGCACCATCGACGTGTGACTTCAGGAACTTGAAATGGGATTCGGCACTTATGAAGACTGCACTCACAGCTTTGTCTTCCTTCATTTTCTCCACCCAAGCAAACTACAAAGAAAGCTTGGATTAAATAGAGTACCTATATGTCATTCATACATACATATACATATATATACATATATATATATATACATATATATATATATATATAATAATATATATACATATGCATATATATATATATATAATACATATATATATATATATATGCATATATATAATATATATACATATGCATATGTAATATCATATTTATTATATATATATTATGCATATTTATATAATATATGCATATATATATATATACATATGCATATATATATATATATATATATCATATGCTAATATGCACATATGCATATAATACCCATATGCATATATATATATATATTATGCATGTATATTTATATATATATATATATATATATATATATATATAATATATATTATATATATGTATATATATATATATATTATATTATATATTATATATTATTGTCTTCTATTACTGTTAATTACAGACCTTTATTATTCTCAAAAAGCATAAAAGACAAAGCCAGAAAATACTGCATGTTTTCATGTTTGAGAGAGAGAGACAAAGACAGACAGACGGACAAAGACACAGATACACAGATACACAGACAGCAGATAAAGACAGAGACAGAGAGAACAGAAGAATACAACTGAGGAGTTAACTGACACTCATTTCCACCGGAAAATTATATCATTTAATTTTTTTTTCTGACACTAAAATAAAATTCTTTTCCAGTTCACAACTTTTTAGCAGTAATATTCAACATGCTATGAATCAAAACCGCCTCAATTAATGTTAAAAAGGTGTTGCAGAACCAACAACTCATATAAGGAAGCAGGAAAGATATACCTATAAAATAATGTAAGATAAAGATAGATTGCATTATACTCCATGCAATATACTGTTTATACTCTCCAATGCAAATACAAAAATTGCAAAGCAGGACCAATTGAAAATAGAAAATATATACAATAAATATATGAAATGTTTGTTTAATTAGTCAAATAAATAAATAATAATACAAAAATCAATATAAGTCGTAGTAGTAGTAGTAGTAGTAGTAGTAGTAGTAGTAGTAGTAAGCTAGTAGTAGTAGTAGTAGTAGTAAGTAGTACTAGTAGTAGTACTGTAGTAGTACTAGTAGTAGTACTAGTAGTAGTACTAGTAGTAGTACTAGTAGTAGTACTAAGTAGTACTAGTACTAGTATAGTAGTATAGTAGTACTGTAGTAGTAGTAGTTAGTAGTAGTAGTAGTAGTAGTAGTAGTAGTAGTATAGTAGTAGTAGTAGTAGTAGTAGTAGTAGTAGGTAGTAGTAGTAGTATAAAAAAAAAGTTTTCAATGATAACTGTGAGTCCTTCATCTTACTGACTATAGTATAGTGGTAGTGTAGTGTAGTGGTAGTGGTAGTGGTAGTGGTAGTGGTAGTGGTAGTGTAGTCTTAGTAGTAGTAAAAAATAAAAAGTTTTCAATGATAACTGTGAGTCCTATCATCTTACTGTATACTGATAGTATAAGTGGTAGTGGTAGTGGTAGTGGTAGTGGTAGTGGTGGTAGTGGTAGTAGTAGTGTGTAGTAGTTAGTAGTTAGTAGTAGTAGTAGTAGTAGTAGTAGTAGTAAGTAGTAAGTCCAGTTAGTAGTAGTAGTAGTAGTAGTAGTAGTAGTAGTAGTTAGTAGTTAAGTAGTAGTAAAAAAAAAAGGTTCAATGATAACTGTGAGTCCTATCATCTTACTGTATACTGATATTCTTGCATATTAATGACCTGTACACACCTAAACCTATTATTTCAACCATTAAATTCTGAAAATAAATTTTTGTGTATCCTATTATCACTATCTTTACATTCTTAAAACAAAACTGTATCATATTAAATTTTTAAATTCTCAAAATAAAACTCTGTGTATCCTATCATTTACATCATTAAATTCTTTAAATACAATCTGTAATCATATATTTACAACTTTAAATTCTTAAAAATAAAGCTTTGTGTATATAGAATGTGTCCATTTTGATAAAAACCTCAGCTTGGAACATGAGATCTGTACTTGGCTGAAACAACAACAACAACAAAAATTATGCTGTCTTAATTTGACAAGGAAGTTTAAAAATTTTACTTCACACTCTCAAAACCTTGTAATATGTTTTTTTGTGTGTAAGAAAATACTGTGATTCTCTC